GAGTCAGGAGTAGGCCGACTTAAGACCAGCCTGGGGGCTACTGGCTATGAGAACTTTGGGGGTCCATGAATGGGAGGAGCTGTGCTGTCTGTTGCATGAGGGGGTATATGCTCCTCTTTCCCATCATTCTGAAAGGCAGCACTGTTTCTCTCCAGGTGAGGGAATCTCCTCTTGGGACCACTCTCCAGGATGGCCTAGCCTGTTGCCCTAGCCCCAGCCCCTCCAGAGGTTAGGAATGTATGGCTGTCACCTATTACAACCACAAATAGGTTCTTGCTTCCATTTTTCAAGCACTGATCACATTTTTTGTTTGCAATGCCTCAAAAACAAAACAAAACAAAAACAAAAAAACACAACTTCTCTTTGGGCTTACAGACCCAAGAATAATCCTGATAATTTTTTACATCACCTGTGTCAGGGGCTGACCAACAAGAGTTAAACAATCTGAAGGTACCCAGAGTAAACAATGGAGTCCACCTGGCCTGTTGTGGAATATTATTTTAACTGTGTAAAGATGTCTTACATTTGTTTGTGCTGCATTTGTTTAATTATGTAGAAATGTGTTGCTGTTTCACCTTGCCTGTCTAAAGCACCAGATTGGTCTAATAAAAGACTGAATAGCTAATAGCTAGGCAGATGAGGGACAGGCATGACTGTTGGGCAGAGAGTATAAATAATAGAAGAAGAGAGAAGAGAAAGAGAGGAGAGAACGAGGGAGAAAGAGACACAACCAAGGCCAGAAGCCAGGCAACCACCAGTCAGCCATGGAGATAGCAGGAAAGTTAGACAGACAGACAGACAGACAGACAGACAGACAGACAGACAGACAGGAAGCCCCAAGGCAAAACATAGATGAACAGAAACAGGTTAAGTTATATAAGAGATAGCAAGAAACAAGCCTAAGATAGAACCAAGCATTCGTAACTAATATTAAGTCTCTGTGTCATGATTTGGGAGCCAGTTGGTGGCCCAAAAGAAAAAGCCTGCTACAGTGGTCCATGATGGAATGGGGGAGGCAGGGCAGATGGACACACAGACCTGGCTTCAGAGAAGGTAGAGCCACAGGGCACAAGAAAAACTGCCCAAGCTGTGACCATTAGCTGGCTCCAGGCACTAGATATCTGGGGAGATCAACCATCTCACCCAAAAGTCTCTGGGAACTCCCACCCACCCACGCACCCACCCCCACCAGAAAGATAGGAACAAATGTCTATTTGCAACAACAACAAAAAAGGGGTCACAGACAGACCAAAAGAACTACTCCAATCCAGAGTTGCAACAGTATGGGTGTAAGTGGCTGCTTATAGGAGTGTGGGTGAGTAAAAGGAAGCTGCATCATTCAAAGGCCACCCCAGTATAGATGAGAACTCACAAAAGCTGCGTTTCTGGAGCTCTCTGCACAGCTTGCAGGCGGCTCTGACATTGAAGAGTTTCCTCTCCCCAACAATTATTACTGTTAATATGGCCATGAGGAAGTGGCTACACGGAATAAATTCCTTCTCTGCTTCTCACCAGTACTTGACTCTCAGCCTATTGGAGATAAGTGATAGTCTAGTTTGCTGGAGCTTCCAGAGCTAGAGTTTACCTAAAAAAGCTCGTTTACCAAATCTGTTGCACTATTGGGAGGTTGCACACTCTTTGTAGGAGATGGGTGGAGGTGTGCCCTTCAGGAAGACGTCTTGACTCTGCTGTCACGAAGTGAGCAGCTTTGCTCCACCACATGTTCCCCACCGCAATGTTCTGACAGACTCAGAAACAACAGACCCTTTAATCCCAGCACTCGGGAGGCAGAGGCAGAGGCAGGCGGATCTCTCTGAGTTCAAGGCCGTCAAGGCCGGGCTGGACTGATAGCCTCCAAAACAATACATAGAAACCCTGTCTCGTAAAAACAAAAAACAACAACAACAAAACTCTTTGAGCCTTTAGCCGGGCGTTGGTGGCGCACGCCTTTAATCCCAGCTCTCGGGAGGCAGAGGCAGGCGGATCACTGTGAGTTCGAGACCAGCCTGGTCTACCGAGTGAGTTCCAGGACAGGCTCCAAAACAATACAGAAAAACCCTGTCTCGAAAAACCAAAAAAAAAAAAAAAAAAAAAAAAGAATGGCCCCCATAGTTTCATACATTTGAATGCTTAGTCATCAAGGGGTGGGACTACTTGAGAAGGATAGGGGCCTTGTTGGAGGAAGTATGTCACTGGTTTCAAAAAAAGCCCATACCAGGCCAGTCTTTCTCTGTCTCTCTGTCTCTGTCTCTGTCTCTGTCTCTCTCTCTCTCTCCCAACAGTTCAAGATGTAGCTCTTAGCTCCAGCTTCAGCACCACGCCTGCCTGCCGCCATGCTCCCTGCCTCCATGTTATAAAGCTCCTGAAGCTGTAAGCAAGCCCTTAAGGAAGTCCTTTCCTGTATGAGTTCCCTTCATCATGGTGTCTCTTCACAGCAACAGAACAGTGACCAAGACACCAGCAAAGGCTACACAGAGAGATTTTTGTCTCAAAAAAATAAAAAGGGGGCTGGAGAGATGGCTCAGAGGTTAAGAGCACTGACTGCTCTTCCAGAGGTCCTGAGTTCAATTCCCAGTAACCACATGGTGGCTCACAACCATCTGTAATGAGATCTGGTGTCCTCTTCTCACCTGCAGGGATGCATGCAGACACAATACTGTGTACATAATAAATAAATATTAAAAAATAAAAATAAAAAGCATACAGACCAGACTTAAGAGTACAGTGTGAGCCGGGCATTGGTGGCGCACGCCTTTAATCCCAGCACTCGGGAGGCAGAGGCAGGCGGATCTCTGTGAGTTCCAGGCCAGCCTGGTCTACAGAGCGAGTTCCAGGACAGCCTCCAAAGCCACAGAGAAACCCTGTCTCGAAAAACCAAAAAAAAAAAAAAAAAAAAAAAAAAAGAGTACAGTGTGAAGGCTGATCCTGCAGACTGTAAAATTTACTATGTGCATCTGTTTTTCCTCTATAGAATATACTTAAACCACAAAAAGCTTAAGATTTAAAAAATTTTTTTTCTGGGCTGGAGAGATGGCTCAGAGGTTAAGAGCACTGACTGCTCTTCCAGAGGACCTGAGTTCAATTCCCAGCAACCACATGGTGGCTCACAACCATCCATAATGAGATCTGGTGCCCTCTTCTGGTGTGCATACATGGAGGCAGGATGTTGTATTCATAATAAATAAAACCTTTAAAAATTTTTTTTCAAAATAAACTGTGAAAAAATTTTAAAGGAAGAAAAAGAATTGTGGAGGCTGGCAAGGTGTCTCAGTTGGTAAAGGCACTTACCTCAAAGGCCTGACAACCAAAATTTGATCCCTGGAACGTATATAAAGGTAGGAGGAAAGAACCGACTCCACAGAACTGTCCTCTGACCTCCACCCCTGTGCCCTGGCAAATACATGTCATCAATCACACATCTAATAGTGTAAACTAATTGTTCAAGTATGGACATGGTGGTTCATGTCTTTAATCCAAGAACTCAGGAGGCAAAGGGAAGTAGAGCTCTATGAGTTTAAGATGGGAATAGTCAACATAAAGAGATACTATCCCAAAAAATAAATATGCAATACTTGCACAATTGTTACAGAGATAATCAAACACAGCCAGGTGGTGGTGGCGCACACCTTTAATCCCAGCACTCAGAAGGCAGAGGCAGGCAGATCTCTGTGAGTTCAAGACCAGCCTGGTCTACAAGAGCTCGCTCCAGGACAGGCTCCAAATCTACACAGAGAAACCCTGTCTCAAAAAAACCAAACCAAAAAAAAATTAATCGAACACTTTTTGATTGGATCTAAGTTCCACTCCATCATGAACACACACATGATACTCTTAAAATGGCCAAGAACCTGAGACTGGATAAGCCATATGCCTAGGGGAAGCCTACTATTATTTTTCTACTAAAGGAACATATAACAGGGCCTGGAGAGATGGATCAGTGATTAAGAGCTTTTTCCAGAGAACCTGGGTTTAGTTTCCAGGACCCACATGGCAGCTCACATCTGTCTGTAACTACATTCCAAGATTTGACACTCTCACACAGATATATATGCAGGCAAAACACCAATACACATAAAATAAAAATCTTAAAAAAGGAACATACAACAAAATGACTCCTAATGACACAGTGCTACATCCATAGAGCAGAGCATCAACCAACCCACATCAGAGCAACTTCTTCCAGTAGATATTAGTTAACAAGGAGATCCAAAATTAGACAATGTGCAGAGAGCTTTTGGAGCAGTCAGCTTTAGATGGGATGTCTTTACCAAGTCCATCCTCTCAAGGCTCAGGGACCTTTACAGAAGAGGAGGCAGAAAGAACATAGGAGCCAGAAATGGTGGATGACTCCAAGGATACAGTGTCTTCCAGACACGCCCAGACTGATACACATATGAACTCACAGAGACACTGACAGCATGCACAAGACTTGTACAGATTCAAGCCAAAATCCCAACACCGAAAAGGGGAAGTGAACACAACGCCCTATGTCTAGTTAAGAGGCTATTTGCAACTGAAACCTGTTGGAGAAAAGGAATGTTAGCTTTCTCCAGTGGAGTATAGATAAGTGGGTATATCCACCACACTCCAGAGCAGGCCTCACGCCCAAGAGTAGTCAGCCAACACAAAATAAACTCCACAGTTTTTGTGCTAATTTTTGTTTTGTTTTGGCTTTTTTTATCTCTTACTGGTTTTCTTTTTTGTTTAAGCTCATTTTGAATTTTTGTTCTTGTTACTTTGTTGTTTTTTCTGGTTTTTGTTTTGTTTTGTTTTTTGTTTTTTGAGAGAGAGAGAGGGAACATGAAATTAGGTGGGTAAGGAGATTGGGAGGATCCAAGGAGGAGTTGGGGAAGAATATGATCAAATGCATTACATGGAAAATAGGAAGTTAGTAAATAACAAATAAATATAAATAGTAAATGCTGCTTTTGTGCTCTAGAACTTTAATCAGACTTGATTTCCTAAATCAATCTTCGATATATTTTAAATTCCAGGCCTGGCTTTCTTCCTTCAGAAAAAGGCTACAGGGCTAGTTTGCTCTACAGCCTGGGAGAACGTTCTTTTGGGGACAAGAATCACCAGGAGCGAGGGACTCTATCTGGCCTTCACCCCACCCTTCTTGAGCGAGAGAATCCTCAGAGGGAGCGATTGGGGGGTTCCCACCCTGCTTGTCCTGGTCAGGGGAAAGTTGCATCACTGGAGACCCTCTCTGGGGGCCTTTCATGAATCTCCATCAACGATTCAGCCCGGCAAATACAGGGCACCAGAAGACAATGCACCCAGCCTCCAGTTGAGGACTCCCGGCTTTGAGCAGCCTGAGGCGCTTGCATCCTAAACTGCATCTTAGCTGCATCTAAGGCTAGTAAGAGGTCTGCCTCCACCACCTTTCTTTGGCCTCTGCCTTTGGGATCCCAGACATGTCTCTCCAGCCGGTTACTGGTCCAAACTGGGACAAAAGCGCAGTCCTAGAAGTTTCTAAGGCCCTGAAAATGTTTGGAAGCTCTAGAAGCCCAAAGAGAGACCCAAAACTAAAGACACCACAACTCGACCTCAAGGGATCAGAAAGCAGAATCTTGTTGGTCACATTCGAATCCCAGGGTGCAGAGAGAACGCTATGACTAAAATAGTCATGAGCCAGTTTCTCAGCAAGAAAAGCAGCCCCATTACACCCCACACCACTGTAGGAGGTGCGAGCCCATAGGTGCGCTTTGAGATTCGAGCTCGGTCAAGAACTGATGCTAGACGGTGGCTACACCATACGCGCCCTCGCGCTGTCCTGGAGGCTGAGGCCATCTCTTCATCGGTGTCTGTGTTCCCCCTCAGTCTTTCCCGCAGAAGGAGCTACTCCACAGACCGCAGTTGGCCCAGAAAGTCTGATGTGGGTGCGACAATGCCACCCCAGGTCTTGGGGCACTCAGTTCCCAGGCAGTGGTCCCGCCCCTCTCCGTCAGTCCCGCCCCCCAAAACCAGTGAATCCAACCCGCACAGAGGCCCGCATATCGACTGAAACGACCATTGGGTAGCAGCGCATGAAAGCGCCGCCACCTTTTTATAGGGTGCGGAGGGGCCCGAGAGCCATCGAGCCCAGGGTCCTGGCAAAACAAGCCGCCGCTGCGCCTAGCGAGTACCAGCCGGGCGGCTAGCCCTACACCCGCCATCCCATGCATGGCCCGGGCGACATTCGACATGAACGCGGAGGGGCTCGGAGCGCGCGGAGGGGGCCACGTAGGGCACGGACCACTCCCCTTCAGCGTCGAGTCACTGCTGGAGGCTGAGCGCGTATCGGGTTCCGAGCCTGGGGAACTGGGGGAGGAGAGGCCGCCGGGTGCCTCGAAGCCCGGAGCTTGGCCCCCACCGGTCACGCACACGTGCCCCCCACGTAAGTGCTCAGTGTCCGGGTCCCAGACCCTGAAAAGCGCGCGCACATTCAAGGTTAGGAAGTCCAGGGGACGATGCGCACTGTGGCTCCAAACTTAATTACTAGCCACTAGGCCGCCCAGACCTAGTGCAAACTGGTGATGGGAGCCCGACAATGTGCACTGGCCCAACAGCCACCTCCACTTCTCTTCCTGGGAGAGGTCCTCAGCCCAGGACAGACACCTCTAATGCTTTCCCACTCCCGGTCACTCACGCTTCTGCACCCCTTACCCACTTTGTGTATGCTCGCGACAGCTAACTAGTCTGCATATAGCCCTGACCTCTACCCATCCTCAGTTATTGCAGCCGCCTCCGCCCCAGCTTGGCTCTTTTTCCAAGTGGCCAGTCCGCAATTTCCTTGGGGTGCGAGGTACAGGGTTGGGAGACTAGACCTGAGTCTACAGCGACACCCCCCCCCCCACACACACACACTTCCCTGCTCCCTTGCTTTGCTTATCCACGTGGCTTTGGGGACCTTGTTAGTCTGGGATACTCTGAGCGAAGTGGTCATGGAACACCAGCCTTCTTTTGTAGGGGGTGGAACAGTGTCGGGATAGGGGTGTGCAGCCAGGGTTTGAGCGCTCGCCCTGTGCTTCTCTTTCCTTTCAGGTGACCCCAGCCCTCCACCCTGCACTCTCCGCAAACACAAAAACAATCGCAAGCCTCGGACGCCCTTCACCACCGCGCAGCTGCTGGCGCTTGAGCGCAAGTTTCATCAGAAGCAGTACTTGTCCATTGCTGAGCGCGCCGAGTTCTCCAGCAGCTTGAGCCTCACTGAGACTCAGGTCAAGATCTGGTTTCAGAACCGCCGAGCCAAGGCCAAGCGGCTTCAGGAGGCTGAGCTGGAGAAGCTGAAGCTGGCAGCCAAGCCACTACTGCCGGCCTTTGCCCTGCCGTTTCCGCTAGGCACGCAGCTGCACAGCTCCGCGGCCGCATTTGGCGGCGGCGCGGTTCCTGGGATCCTAGCCGGGCCAGTCGCGGCTTATGGCATGTACTACCTGTCTTAGCCCATGGAACCAAGTCCTAGCCTCTCGGGCTCAGGCTTGCGCCACACCTCCGGCCGCCGCTGATGCTCCTGGTAATTTCTGACCTTTAAGTATCCCTTTCATTTTAGCTTTTCGTTCTTTACTGTTCATACTGTGTTATAGTTGATGACTGGAGCCTATTTGTAGGCATCTTACAAATATTTTAAACCTTCCTAAAATCATATTCACACCTATCTGTTTTCTGAAAGACAGTGAACTCAGCTTCATACAGTCCTTGAAATGGACAGAAGTAGATCTTCCTACTTCGTACAAAGCGGCACCGAGGACTTTAGAGAGGGTCTTTTGGACTGGCATAAACATTCCCTAAAAAGAAATTAAAATAAAAATGAGACAGTGGGACTGCTAGGAAGAAACTTAGAAACTATCATCACTTTAACTAAATGTGGTATGTTGTGACCAAATGAAAAGTTTTGCAGTTGTTTGAGATTTTACCCCATTATTTTTGTTTTAGAGTATACTCTGTTCAAGGAGCCAGAGCCAAATGCTGCATGGGTGGGAGCAGGGGGGGTGGGTGATGTGCCTCTGGCACCAAGCACCAAAATAAGGTGGCAGCTGGGCAGCTGGGCAGTGCCTGCTGGGAGACTGGGGGGCTGTGGCTGTCATGCTGGAGGCAGCAGGCCCGCAGGGACCAAGCCTTACCCTCTTGCCAGCAGGTGCCTATCCAACAAAGAGAAGACACTGAGGGTTGAGAGCCTTGCTGTGGGCGCAGTAGGAGGTGGGGCTTAACAAGATCCCAAAGGACGTGCTGTGAGTGCCAGAAGCCCCTGTGATCTCGTGGGCCTTAGGAAAACGGTGGACTTGTTTAGGAATCAGGACCTTGACCTTCATGTGAGGAAGGAAAACAGACCATCTGAGCTGTCCTGACCCATTGCCCCTGTAGGATTCTCAACCCTGTCACAAAATACAGAGGCCCTTCATCGACCTGCCAGTGGCACTGGCAAAACCTGTGGCTGTTTTCACAGTAAGTTTCTGCCACAGTCTCGAGACTTAAGCCTGGAATGTGCTGAGGGCTCCCAACGGTCCCCTGGTGTCACAGCCCAGCCACCGACAGGCTCCTTCTTCCAGATGCCCCCTTGGAGCTGGAGAGGAAGAGCTGGGCTGCAGAGGTGTGTTCTTGAGGCCCAGGAACTTCACAGCGATGGCCCTGGGTTAGGCTATTCTGGTTGGGAGCAGGCAAAAGACCGGCCTGTGGTCAGCAGCCCAAGCCAGGACAACTGCTCCAGGAAAACTGCTGTCCTGTGACCTCCACTGCTCCATCTGCTCCAAATAAAACACAAGAGATGATAGTGCACGGAATTGCCTATTGATACCATTGACATTCCTCATCCCCGAATCTCTTGGAAAACGGAAACCAGATAGGTTTTTGTTTTGTTTTGAGACAGAACCTCACCATGTAGCCTTAACTGGCATGGAGCTTGCTTGTTCTCCAAGGATGGCCTTAGACTACCAAAGGTCCAGTTGCCTCTGCCTCCCAAGTGCTGGGATGCCCAGCTGTGTGATTTTTTTTAGGTTAAATGGCTCAGTTTTGGGGGTGTCCGATGCAGAGAGTGAAGGACAGCTGCAAGGGAGAGTGACTGTCTCTCGGGTGCATGTACAGAATAGCCTAGGCTGTTTGAACTTAAACCCAGTCCTGCTGCCACTCTCAAGAGGTCAGACCCTCTCTTGCTGTGCAAATACCGACATACAGAGGACCTGGTGGAAGGGCCCTGAAATCTCATCCAGCAAGTCTGCTTCTTGGAAAAACAAACCTGGAACTACTCATGTAGCCCAGGTTAGCTTCAGACTCAAAGCAATCCTAACTCATCCCACTGAGTCCTGGGATTACAGATGTGAGCCACCACACCCAGTCAAGCTGCTACCTCTTAAATCCCATTATTGCTTCAGTTCTGCTCTCAAATCCAAGGTCCTGAGTGGCACTGGGCAAACTACAAGCATGTTCAACCACAGCTGGGGCATTGGCAAAGCTGAAACCACGGGAAAATGAAAATCAAAAGTACATTTCAGGAAGGCATTGTGCCACCCTCCACTTCCTAGTGGATCAATATTGTTGTGGTAGATCTGTATCTGCTGGCCAAGAGCATGCCTTTTGGGGCTTGAAATAGGCATAACAAGAAACAGAGTAGTGAAATGGTGTGGACTGCAGATGACCTTGGGCAGAGGACAAGTACAGAGGACTGGACTGTGATTTACCCATCAAGTATAAGTGTCTCATCTTTCCCAAAAGAGTGACGTGATGTGTTCAATGGGTTTGGGCGGTCAGAGTATTGCCTGAGCTCTGGGGAACAGCCCCGAGGCCTTTAAGGTCAGGATTGCCTCCAAGGAGGGAGCCAGGGCTCATGCACCTACTAGCTTCCAAACGCAGCTGAGGCCAGCCACCCGTATCTGCTTTGTCCCCTGTGAGTCTAGGGGGCTGGTCTAAGGTCTTTAGTACAGTGACCTGAGAGCATGGGTAATGTGCTGTGGACCACTCAAAAGGTAGACCCTGACCTTTCTTTTTTCTTTCTTTCTTTCTTTCTTTCTTTCTTTCTTTCTTTCTTTCTTTCTTTCTTTCTTTTTTCCGAGACAGGGTTTCTCTGTATTGTTTTGGAGGCTGTCCTGGAACTCCCTCTGTAGACCATGCTGGCCTCGAACTCATAGAGATCTGCCTGCCTTTGTCTCCTGAGTGCTGGGATTAAAGGCGTGCACCATCAACGCCTGGCCCCACTGATGTTTCTAGAAGGGACTCTTCAGATCTGCCTAGCAGACCCCGGATGACCTGAGATCTGGAGGGCAGCACCTCCTCCTGGAAAGTTCTGCACAGCTGACACACAGGGCAGGCATTTAAGGACAGTGCCATCTCTTCCTTTCTTGAGGAATGGTGAGCATACTTAAGCTGAGTACTCTAAGCCAGGCACCAGGGGAGAACATCTACCTCCTGGCCTCCTCGTGCTTCCAGTGCCACCAACGCCCGGCTGATAATCTCATTTTTATTTCGAAGAAGTATTGTCTAAATATACACAAGTATTGCTGTTCACATTCTACATTATGTTTGACTGTATTATTAAGAAAAAAATCATGCATTAAACAGGGATGGTAGATAATAGAGAAGCTAAGTTCTGGAGATGGTCAGAGGAGGGAAAGAAATGTCTTCACATTTATGATGTGTGTGCATTAGAAAGCCAAACCACACAACCACAACATTCCCCTACACATTCAAGGGGTGTTATCTTTGAAACTTTATGAGAAGAGCCACAGGCTCATCTCTACTCTGAACATACCTGTTTTTATACAATAGGAGATACCTGCTCTAGCAGGTGATTCTGGGTCTAATCCAGTGCTTACTTTTTAAAAAGATTTTATTTATTATGTTTACAGCATTCTACCTACATGTTTGCCTGTACACCAGAAGAAGGCACCAGCTCTCATTATAGATGGTTGTAAACCACCATGTAGTTGCTGGGAATTGAACACATGACCTCTGGAAGGCAGCCAATGCTCTTAACCTCTGAGGCATCTCTCCAGCCCTCCAGTGCTTACTTTGTTAGCAGCTTTTGGGGACAGAGGTTCAGGACTGGGCTTGCACAGCAATCTACCTCCAACTCCTAACTTTCTGGGCTGCTTGGGGGCATGCATGAACACCCAGGTGTCACTGGTCCATTTTAGGCTTCTGAAGGGATATTGGCAGTAAGTTTGCAGCCACCTTTTCCAGATTATTAAGGATCCTTTCTGGAGATGGTTACTAAGAAGTTTTATCATATACTATTTTTGACTATATTAAGAGAATCAAGTGACTTCCTCCTTTAGCCTGTGGAGTGAAAAGTCATAAGATTTTCCTTTGTTGAACATGGTGGTGCACATTTTTATTCCCAGCATTACAGAGACAGAGGCAGGTGGATCTCTGTGAGTTTGAGGACAGCCTGGTCTACAAAGAGAGTTCTAGGTCAGTCAAGGGTACATAGTGAGAACCTGTCTCAAAACAAACAAAAACTCAACAAGAATGAAGTTTTCCTTTGTTAAATCAGTTGTGAATTTCTGAAATAAGCCTAATTTCAGGAATGAGGCGATCAAAAGGATGAACAACAGTTTTAAGCTTGGGTACGACAAAACATGATGGAATAAAGGTTAGCAGCTACTAGCGGGAGTGAGTGTAACTTCTGCTGGTAGAAGAGGACCCTTCAGGAGCTGTTCAGAGACTGTGCAGCAGGTGGAGTCCTGAAACAGCCTGCCCCACCAAGTCCCGTGCTGGCAAGTTCCAAGTTTACAGGAAGTACCATAGTGAGGTGGGCTCTGAGGTGGGTTCAGCGTTCTTCAGGAAGCAGTGGCCTGTTTCCTACTGCTACAGAAAGCATCTGGTAATGTTAGGTCTCCCGGGCCACTTCAGGGAGAGGGACAGTGACGGCTCCCTGCTGAAGGTTGTGACTTGAGTCCCGAGAAGTACTGTGAAGACAGAGTGGTGTGTATCACCTGCCCCTTCTGTGTGCCTGAGACAAAGTTCGTTTGCGCATGAGCTTCTTATCTGACCACACATTCCTGTACTCAAAGTCTGAAAGCATAATGCCTTTGCTTGTCCCAGAGGAGTCTGCTCGAAATGCTGGCCCCAGCCACCACAGTTGCGTCCAAATAGCTTTTTCTGGTAGTGTAGAAGATGCAAGCTCATACAGAGAGAATCTCATGGGCACACATGCATTCACACACATTTGATATGTGATGGGGTATGGAGGGAGGGAAGAAAAGAGAGGGGTGGGATAGACTATGAACTTCCACAGCCCACTTCCCAGTCTCAGTAGTTACCAGTGCAAGGCCCTCAAATCTCAGGAGGGCCTCTCCATCAGGTTACTTTGGTACATATTTTAGAGGTCATATGATTTCCTGCACAAGTGATTCAGGATATGTTTTTGAAAGACTGCTTAAAAAAAAACAGAGCCAGGCGTTGGTGGTACACGCCTTTAATCCCAGAACTCAGGAGGCAGAGGCAGGCGGATCTCTGTGAGTTCAAGGCCAGCCTGGTCTACAAATCGAGGTCCAGGACAGCCTCCAAAAAATACAGAGAAACCCTGCCTCGAAAAACCAAAAACCAAAACCAAAACCAAAACCAAAAACAGGACTTGGGGGCTGGAGAGATCGCTCAGTGGTTAAGAGCACTTGCTTGCTTTTCCAGAGGGCCTGAGTTTGGTTCCCAGCACCCACATCAGGCATCTCACAATTGTCTGTAACTCTAGCTCCTGGTGATTCAATGCCTTTGGCTTCCACAGGTACTTGCACTCATGAATACATACCAAAAGCAGATACACACCTAGATATAATTAAAAATAAGTCTCTCTCTCTCTCTCTCTCTCTCTCTCTGGTTTTTTGAGACAGTGTCTCACTACGTAGCTCTGGCCATCCTGGAACTCACTCTGTAGACCAGGCTGGCCTGGAAACTCACAGAGATCTGCTTGCCTCTGCCTCGAAGGACTGGTGAGTGCCACCACCTCCCAGCTATCTCTTTTTCTTTAAAGTGGCTTGGGGGCTAGAGAGATGGACCAGTGGTTAAGAGCACTGTCTGCCCTTCCAGAAGACTAGGGTTCAACCCCCAGCATCTTTATGTTGACTTACAAGCATCTGTAACTCCACTTTTAGAGGATCCAACATCCTCTTCCGGTCTCCGGCACCAGGCATGCATGTGGTACACAGGCATGAATGCAGGCAATAATACCCATACACATTAAGTAAAATGAAATTTTAAAAAATTAACAGAGACTGGGCAGTGGTATTGCGTACCCAGCACTCTGGAGGCAGAAGCGGGTATGTCTCTGTGACTTCCAGGACAGCCAGCGCTATTACACAGAGAACAACAACAACAGAAATGAAAGAGTGGCTGCACTCCTGGGCTTGTCCCCAAAGGGACTTGCAGGGCACAGATGTGGGCTTGTCCACAGACCTCAAGGCTGTTTGCATGGATGGGAGCAGTAGCGAGTGCCTGTGTGCGCTCAGTGTTGGCTGGCACGGTGCTGGCCCAGTGCTGGCCCAGTGCATATTCCCATCGAAGAGAAAGACAGACCACAGGACCAAGGTCATCAAGATGTTACCAGAATTTCAGAAAAGCTTGGTTTGTACCAAGAACCATACTAGAAGAAATTATCTGTGGTCTCATTAAAGGAGGAGCTGCCAAACTTCAGATGGCTAGTGTATCATTGACATCTGTAAACAGATGACTGTCAAAGAAAGTTACTCTAGTCAAAGGAGCAGTATTACACTGTTGTAGTTCATTCTGTCCTCTATGGAAGAGAAGCTCCCTTACATGGTAGTGGTATACTAAATCACATGGTTTGCTTGTTGAACAAGGCATACCAGAAGTCAAACGTAAAAGAGACTGTGGCAGACTCTGATGTATGCTCAAGGAAGGATATGAGGATTTCTTTGGTAAACTTCAACAGCACAGTGTCTCTATGTTCATCTTTTCAGCTAGTATCAGTGACATGCTTGAAGGAGTTATCCATCAGGCTGAAGTTGGTCACTTATATATCAAAGTAATAGCCAATTGCATGGATTTTGATGAAAATGGAATGCTGTAGGGATCCAAAGGAGAACTAATTCTTGTATTCAACAAACATGATGGCGCCTTGAAAAACACAGACTATTTCAGCCAATTGAAAACAACAGCAACATCATTCTGCTGAGAGACTCCCAAGGACACTTAAGGATGGCAGATGAGCACATTCTGAAAATTGGGTGTTCTGAATAACAGAGTAGACAAGCTTTTAGAAAAATGCATGAACTCTTTTTTTTTTGTTTTTGCTTTTGTTTTTTTGAGACAGGGATTCTCTGTATTGTTTTGGAGACTGTCCTGGCACTCTCTGTAGAGCAGGCTGGCCTCGAACTCACAGAGATCTGACTGCCTCTGCCTCCCGAGTGCTGGGATTAAAGGCGTGCGCCACCAACGCCCGGTGGAAAATACATGAACTCTTATGAGATTGTTTTAATAAAAGAAGACTCACTGGAGGTTGTCGATTCTATTTTACAAAAGACATTATAAACAAGCTGTTTGTGAGAGATTTCTCCCACAGGTGCAACTCAAACCAGCTCTGTCCATTTTGAGGAAAGACTCTGATTTTCTTATCTGTAATACATTATTTACATTCCTTTTTTGTTTTGTTTTTTGAGACACTATTTCTTTGCCTAGCTTTGAACTGCCCTGGAACTAGCTCTGTGGACCCAGGAAGCCTCTAACTTTCAGAGATCAGCCTGCCTCTGTTTTCCAAGAGCTGGGATTAAAGGTGTGCACTACCACTGCCCAGCTATAACACATTCTTGCTCTTGGTATTTTCCCTTTCCTCTTTCTCTGTATTGTTTTGGAGGCTGTCGGTCCAGCCTGGCCTCGAACTCACAGAGATCCGCCTGCCTCTGCCTCCCGAGTGCTGGGATTAAAGGCATGCGCCACCACCACCCGGCTCAAAATACTATTTTTAAAATTACACGTGCATGTCAGTGTAGGGTTACATCCACATGAATGTAGGTGCCCACGGAGACCAGAAGGAAGTATTGAGTATTCTGGAGCTAGAGTTACAGGCAGTTGTGAGCTGCCTGATGTCAGTGCTGGGAACCAAATTCTGGTCCCCTCCCAGTGCTGCCCATGCTCTCTAGTACTAAGCCTTTGTTCTCATTTTATTGATGATCATAATTCTGACAGGTCAAGTGGAATCTCTCAATGTCGAACACTTTTTTCATACATTTATTGGCCACTTCTAACAACTGTTCGATTCAGTTGTCTTATTTACTAACCAGTATTCTTTATTCTTTTGGTGTCTAATGTCTTGAGTTCTTTAGAACAATCAAGCATGGCAATATCTCTAGCATTACTCTTTTGTGTGTCCATACGAATTTTAAGTTTACCTTTTCTATTTCTGTGAAATGTTTGTTGCTGCCTTTTGTTAAATCTGGAACTTACTCTGTAGCCAAGGCTGGCTTTGAACTCTCAGTCTTGTCAGTGTTGGGATTATAGATGAGAGCCATAGAACTTAGTCTTTTCACTTCTGTTCCTTGACTGGCATTATCCAATTGATCAGTCCACTTAGTCTTTCCTCTGCCATCTCAGCTCTCCCTTGTGAGTCTTTTTAGTGAGTTCTTAAAGTTCAAGCACTATACTTTCAACTCCAGAAATCCCATCTGGCTCTTTTAAAAGCCAGAGAGATGACTCAGAAGTTAAGAGCATGCACTGCTCCTCTAGAGGACCCAAGTGGGATTCCCATTAACCACATCAGATGTCTGTAACTCTAGCTCCAGGCTAGAGCCTCTATGGGCACATGCTCTCATGTGCACACACACACAATGAAAATAAACCTCAAAAAACAAGCCCAAAGCATCTCTCTTTATTGAAGGTCTCTGTGAGACGCCACATTCCCACCTTCCTTAGTTTCGTGATCATGTGTGATGGCAGTGGTGTTTTCTGTTAGTCCTGGCATTCTGCCACCTCATAGGCAATCTCTACTTGCCTCAATTTTAGGAGGTGGGCTGTATCTTCTGTTTTTTCTCAGACCTCTCATTGGTGTTGTTTAAATTTGACATTAGTAATAACTAGTTGATTTAAGAACAACTCTGGGGCTTGTTATTGGTGTGTTTGAGGGTAGATAGATCATGGTTTTGGTAAGGATGGCTATCCTGCATTTGGCTTTCCCAAGCTTCTGGTTTCTCAGGAAAGACGGGTTTTGTTGGTCACAGACCTGGGATAGGATTCTTGTTTTTCTAGATTTTTGGTAGGACCTATAACCATGAGCTCTCTCCTTATCTACTCCACAGCTGCCCCACAGCCCTGCAGTGTGTGTTCAATATCCCTCCTAGGGTTTCTTCCTGCACCCTTCCAGATACCTTGTCCCAGTGGGGTTTAACTGGCTGAGTAGGGCACAGGGACAAGGATGTCTCCTAAAGAATAAGAATCCTGGATTCCCCTGTGGCTGTGCTGGACCCCTAACTCACAGCTTTGTGGGATCCAGGAACTGTACAAATCTCCCTAAAACTTTGTGTTGAAAGCAAAATAGTCATAGTTCAGAATCATTCCCTTTTCTGTCTGGCTCAAGAATACAGGAAGAAGAATAGAGATAATCAGTGAAAATTATTTCATATGTTTAATAGTGACATTCTTAGAGTAGCTCTCACAAAGCAGGTAGGTGATTTCTCCATCTCATTCCTTCAGTGTGTCCTGGTTATTTCTGGAATCTGCAGATTCTGGGTTTCTACACACAGGCTGCTTCATGTGGCCACATACGGAAATAAGGAGGTGGCAGCTATCCAGAAGCAAGAGAAAGGCCCTGGCACACCACTCCTTGAAAGTCTGTCTGGCTTCCTCATCAGGATCCATCAGGGGTGTTTGTTTCTTTTCTTAGTGCTTTTAAAACCTCTGGCTGCACCTTGGCCAAAACAGACAGTAGAAGGTATTCTGAAACAGAAAAAAAAATGGTCCTATCAAACAATGGCATTATCTTTAGCAACACAGTTTGTCTGTACTTTCTTCATATTTGTATTCTGGAATGTTCTCCTTTTGCTCTGTGGAATACTCAGGAAATGGAGTCTGCCCTCTTGGGTCCTAGGATCAGCTCATTGTCTCAGGCTTGCTTCCTGTGGGATATCTTCCTGGTACCAATGTGCCAGCAAGGTCGGCTCCTGCTGAGGCCCCTATGGCATTGGTTTCCTGTTATCTCCATTGCTGAAACCTAATCACCATAGGCAAGCAGGGTACTCTCAGGCCAAGTTCAAACAGTTATGGAAGATGGCTCCTGGAAGGCAACTGAGGGACATAACATTTCCATCTTCCTGTCAGTTTGGATTATTGGGCTACCCCCACCCCCACCCCGCTGCCACTGTTCAAAACTTTCCGCAAAACAATAGCTGAAGTTAATGTGAGTGCAATCTGAGAAACACTGCCAGGCAAACACAGACTGTCCTTTCCACCCAGCAGAGATAACAGTGATGGATGGATGTGTGTGTGTGAGTGTGTGTGTGTGTGTTTGCATGCTAAGCTCTAGGGTCTAAAGCACAGGAAAGCAGGGAAACTGGAACACTCAGGTTGTTACCTGCAACGAAGCCCATCTTCTTGCCCAGTGTTACCCACTCTCAAGCTGAGGGTCATTAACACAGAAAGATGTACACACTGACCTGTGACTGTAGGTCCGCCGGCAGGGAGGTGCGGCTGCAGGTTCAGAGCAGATTTCCATGGCGTCACTGTCATCTTTCAGGGCTCTGGCTGGTGGATCTGCTGCTGCTGGCATGGCTGGGCTGTAGAGGACAAAGCAGTGAGCTGCCTTTATAGCTGGTTCCTCAGCAGTAATCTTTCAAGGAAGACATTCTTTTTTCCTGCAAAATTCACCCCCCACCCCCGCTTTACTATTTTGGAACAATCTAATGTTACAATGAAATTTTTAGGCTATTGGAAAAAGAAGAATGCTCAATGGCATGGTCATGCATTCATATAGCTAAGTCTGATAATTTATAAATTTAAATATAGTGTTTCTTCATCCTTCTCTCCTTTAAAAACAGCTGGGGTCAGGTATAGTAGTGCATCCTTTAATCCCAACACTGAGAGATAAGAGACAGGTGATCTCTGTGAGTTCTAGAGGCTAAACAGCTCTACAAAGTGAGTTCCAGGAGAACCAGAGCTACACAGTATACACCGTGAGACATCTACCTAACCCCTGCAAAAAAAAAAAGAAAGACAGCTGGCCAGGAACTTGACATGTAGACTAGCCTGGCCTCAAATGCAGAGATCTGCCTGCCCCTGCTTTCCAAGTTCTGGGATTAAAGGCAAGTACCACCATGCTCAGTCCACATCAGTATTTTTCTTTAAGATTTTCAATTTTTGTATTTATGTATATGTATGTGTTATTCTCAGTGCCACACATTTGTAGATGCCTAGAGGCCAGAAAAAGGCACTGGATCCCTTGTAGCTGAAATTACAAGCAATTGTGAGCCATCTGATATGGGTATTGTGAACAGAATAGTGAGTTGTAGACCCAGCCCCCAAATGTCTTTCCATGAGGGAGAGACTTACTAAAACGAACCAGATAACATAGATTCTTGCCCTTACTATCAATGAGCTAATGCTGAACTGTAGATGTGGAGAAGTATTGAGGATTCAGATTCCCATGAGGCATTCCACAATGCAATGGATTCTCTAATTATTTTACATAGAAAGTTCAGCTATTTGAAGTAAATAGACTTCAATTCAAAAATTCTTATCTATTTGCTTACTTATTATGTGTGCTTATGTGTGGTATGTGTGTAAGATAGAGGCCAACCTCAGGTATCATTACTCAGTAGCCATCTGCCTTATTTTTTGAGACAGGGTCTTTCACTGGGACCTGGAGCTCACAGCTGATACTAGGCTGGCTGGCCTAGTACCTTCTCTGGTACTAGCATCCTATGTGCACAGCACCACTGTTGGCTTTTTTAGGTAGGGTTAGGGATTGAACCTCAAGCTTACACACTTCACCAAACGAGCTGCCCCCCCACCCCAATCAATGCAATATCTAATGATTGTGATGAGAGCACAGTGAAAGGAATCATTTTGTAAAGGAAGCAAAGAAGCAGTACACTAAGAGTTATTCCAGGAGCTATTTTTCCCAGGGTAGTACAACAGTCATGTTAACAGACAGCTTTGTCGACAAGTTTGTAAAAGTAAGTGGAGAGAAAACAAACCAAAAGGAAACAAACAAACCCTAGGAGGTTCCACGGGAGAGGTGTGAAGACCGCATGCACTGGGACAGTCCCCAAGTGCCCTGCTGGCGGATTTAGAGGGGCATGCAGGGCACAGATCAGCACAAGTACCTGCTGTCACCACAGACATATAATCCAAGCATACTAACTCACTGTTCTCAGAGTTTCAGTTACCTGTGTATAAAAACTAAGTCAGGTTTCACTACAGTGTCGGTTCCCAGGCTTAAGACTTCGGTCCCTACGTACCCTCTGTTTGTCTTGGGTTTATCAAATCGGAAATCCGCAGGGTACAAGTGGAGCCTCACCATGTGATCCTTCCGGGCTTGGCTGGTCTTGAACTTCTCTGGGCAGCCTTCAACCAAGCACTGGTACTACAAAGAACAAGGTGTCACCCCCCACTCTCACCCTCGCTCAGCCCCATCCCAGACACCATTGCAGATGTGCTTGGTGTAGCCAACACCCACCATATCTTGCCTCTGGGCCAGGATCTGGAACAGAGAGTCATGCCATTCCAGGATGTGCACATCCAACAAATGCCCAGAGGGGAAGGCACGGCTGCAGAGGGAGCAGGTGTTTCTATGAGACATGTGGTAGTGGTGCTGGTAGTCCTCTAGGGCAGCGAACACTTGGCAGCAGCCAGCCACCTGGCAGGTGAACTCAGGCACCCTGGGAAAGGAGGCAAGTCACTTGGAGGGATGCCCACCCCAGGCAAGAATTCCAGGCAGATCTCTTACCCACATTTCTGTTGGTGAACCTGAAACAAGTCCAGAGTTCCTATGCCACCCCAAGTCTTACTAACAGACTAGGGGAGGGAGGAGCCAGCCAAGCCATGCGTGAGCGCGGGAGAAGCTACTCAGGGTGTCATCTGGGAGGGGCCCAAATCCTAGCCTGTTTAAGGACGGGAGAGGAGGAGCCAGGGTAGCGCTAGCAAGCAGAGAAAGGCATCGAAGCCAAGCTGCTCACATGGACTTCTCCGGCGTCTCGGACACTTGCGTGAGCATGTCCTGCAAGTAGAGGTGCCGCTGCACATCCCCATCCTACAGAAGACACGCGCCAAGAGCCATGAGTGGACCCCGGTCTCGAAGCCCCGCCCTACAGTTTTGAACCAGGTCCCAACCTACAGAGATAAGCCCAGCCCCCAGGTCCTGTCCACAGGTCCCGCCCACACGAACAAGCTCCGCCGGGCCTAGCCCCGCCCACAGCGACAGTCCTACTCCCCCCTCGGCCCCGCCCTGTGTGGGGGGGCTCAGGGTAATCACGCACCTCAAAGAACTCGTGATCCCGTGGGAAGCGGACGGGGCGCGGTGTGAACTGGAAGGGCGCTGCTCCAGCTGCAGGGTTCCGCTCCACGGGCAGCGGTTCGGCTGCCCCGGGCGCCCCGGCCAGACGCGAATATAGCGCAGGGGAAAGCAACATCTCCCGGGCTGCCGCAGCCCTTCGGCCACCGTCCGCGGGGCGGGGACGGACGTTACGTCTATTAACTTCCTGTGGCGACCCCGCGGGGCGGAACGCGGCGCACGGAGGTGAGTGAGGGCTGGGTCTGGCTTGTGGCGGGAACCGGTCGGGGAGGGGCGGGGTTGGAGCCCGGCGCGGGGACCGGGTACGGGATCACGAAGGTCCTGCAGCGGTGAAGAGTCTGATTCTCTTGGGCATCTGCGGCCGGCGGTTCGGACTGCCAGCCCGGGCCTGCTCCGCAGCTCCACAATGCGACAGTCTCTGGCTGTTTCTGTTCCCTAGGACATATCTAAAGGCTTAAAGAAAACTAATGTTTAGAGATGAGAGAAGCCTCCCTTTTTTTTCTGGAATTACTTACAAATCAGGAAGCACAACAGGCTCCTTGGATTAATGCATGGGAAGTAGTGCTGAGAATTTACTCAGTTTCTAGGATATGATTTTTCTCTGTGGCTTTGGAGGCTGTCCTGGAACTAGCTCTTATAGACCAGGCTGGTCTCGAACTCACAAAGATCCGCCTGTCTCTGCCTCCCGAGTGCTGGGATTAAAGGCGTGCGCCACCAACGCCCGGTTTAGGATATGCTTTTTAATGTAAGTATCCGTGTAAATGATGTTTTCATGGGAGTAGCTCTGCCCTCTGTGTCTGATGTACGGGGCTTCGTGTTGGTGGCTCACGCCTTTGAAGAGACCATATGTGGGGGAAGTTTGGCATTTTGTTTTCTGCTTGCCAGGTAGCTTAAAGTGCCTCTTTTGAGACCTACCATTTTTTTAAATGTTACTTGAGCATTTTATTTTTGTATGGGGCTTTTGTCTGCATTTTCGTCTGTGCACCGTGTGCATGCAGTGCCAGTGGAGTCTAGAAAAGGGCATCAGATCTCCTGGGATTAGAATTACAGAGGGTTTTGAGCGACCATGTGGGAGCTGGGAACCGAACCCAGGTCCTCTGCAAGAACAGACAGATGCTCTTAACTGCTAAGCCATGTATCCAGCCTCAAGGTACATGTCACTTAAGGGGCTGTCAGTATCTTAGTGTCTCTCTGAAACTAAGCAATTCCCACATTACTTAGTGAGCATAACCAGATCCCAAATATCAGAGTGAGCATGGCGAGACATTTGTTTTATTTAATCCCCATAGCAATTCTCGGTAGCTCTGTGACTCCCTCTTTTCATATGAAGCATGCAAGGGGTTAACAAGCATTTTGCCGGGAGTCCCCACCCCAATGGGGAAAGTATCATGTTCCTACTGCTTTTTGTTGTGGTTACCCTGAACACCCCTTAGAGTATGTGTACTAGGGATTTGATACCAGCTTTTGACTTTCCATTTTGTTTTGGTCCTTGGAGACACCTATTTTGACCATTGGTGGAGGATGCTAAACTAAGAAACTGCTTTTCCATTACATGGGTTTACAGTGTGGAACTCTCAAGGTTAAGTTCCAAGATGGACTACTTTGTACATTAGCATACTGTGAGAGTGTGTGCTGAGTCTCCTGCCCTTGGCACTGTTTAACTCAAGGCTTGTCTCAATTGGATAAGTTAGCACAGCAGTTCTTAATTTCTGAGTTACAACATCTTTGAGAATTTATAAGAATGCTCAGAAAATTTACAGATATGAATAGTAAAGTCTTATATCCAGGTATAACTTTACTAATGTTTGTGGATCTCAAATTAGGATCCTAATACAGGTGGGTTTATTACCATGTTCCTTTAGCATCCATAAAGTTTATTAGGCTTAATTTTGAATCTGTAGCTAGTGCCTGTTTTCCTTAATGCTCTTTATTAGCACTGGTCCTGACTGCTAGCTCAGCCATCAATGGAGGAGTGGAAGAGCCCATGTTGCCAGCTTTTAGTACCAGGATGTTGGTACATCTGTTACTATGAGGACATTATATACAGTCTCCCCGTGGTCGACCACTTTCCACTGGGATGGTGGGATGGTGGGATGGAGGTCACCATGCCCTTCCTGACCAGTGGAACATTGGTTTAGAAATTCACATGCTGTCTTCTGCTGTTGCTTTGTGACATCGAATGAAGTTCTGTTTGATTTTGAGACAGGTTCTTGCTGTGCATCCTAGACTGGCTTGGACTGTGATCATCCTGCCCAGCCTCTCAAGGTCTGGGGTTACAGCCTCAGAAGTTGTTTTGATCTCTATCACTTGTGGCCAGTGTCTAGACCCTAGTGCAGCTGGTCCTAGAGTGTCAGCAAAGTTGGAATATGTGGAAATCTTGCCTACCTAAAATATCTTTGTATGGGGCTGGAGAGATGGCTCAGCGGTTAAGAGCACTGACTGTTCTTCCAGGGGTCCTGAGTTCAATTCCCAGCAACCACAAAGTGGCTTACAACCACCTTGAGTGAGATCTGGTGCCCTTTGCTGGTCATATATATATGGCCTCATGAGTGGGAAGTTTTAATATATCAGGACAGAGGCATTAGCCTAGGTCTATACACGCTCCCTCAAAGGGCAGGATCATTGTGTCTGCCCAGCCAGGGCCAAAAAAGCTGAGACAGAAGAACAGACCTGCCTCCTGCTGACCCATGGTCACATGAAGATAGGCTGGAGCAGGGAGTGAGAACCAGGCTTGTGGGGCCTATTTCAGTGATTTACCCGGTACAATTGACCTCTGAAGTGATGGTGTGAACTGGAAAACCGCTGGAAGCTCTGTTGACGGGTCTATAGTAGAGGTGAATGCACTGACAGTGGCAGCACAGTGGCTGGCAGATCTCAGCATTTGGTTATAGATCAGACTGCCAGGGATGGGGAGAGACTCATAGTTGATATAATCCTAGCGATGATTTTTTTAAAGATTTATTTATATATTATGTACACAGTTTTCTGTCTGCATGTGTCCCTGCAGGGCACCAGATCTCATTACAGATGGTTGTGAGCCACCATGTGGTTGCTGGGAATTGAACTCAGGACCTCTGGAAGAGCAAACAGTGCTCTTAACCTCTGAGCCATCTCTCCATCCCTTAGCGATGATTTTTATGTTGAAGGTTTGAATCAGTCAAAAGACATTTTAGGTTTTAAACTTATGAACAACTTTCTGCTTTCAGGAGAATATTGCTATGTTGGTGTCTCAGAGCTAAACTATGAGTGAATTTCGGATTCACCATGATGTCAATGAGCTCCTCAGCCTGCTACGCATCCATGGTGGAGATGGGGCTGAGGTCTACATTGACCTGCTGCAGAAGAACCGGACACCATATGTTACAACCACAGTCTCTGCCCACAGTGCCAAGGTGAGCACCTATCCCTGATACAGGGCCATAGGGTTGGGGACCTGAAGGTGCAGCCATGGGTGTGAACACTCATCTTAGGGCTATGGGGATGGGAGCCTGTCCCTGATAGTGACAGCATGGCTAGTACTGGGCCAACAGCACAGTGAATGCTTCCTTTGAACCTGTCATTCGCTGTGCTTTGCTAGTCTTCTGGTTCCTGGCAATAGCTACTATTATTTACCCCATTGCATGGATGAATCAGTGGATATCCAGGGAGAAAGAGCTAGTATCCGTGAACTCTCACACAGTTCTCCTCTGTTTCTGAGTAAGAGATTTACTATAAGTCAAAATTACTGAGTGGGAAAAGGAAAGCTATGGGTATTAATCATATTGAAATTTCTTTCAGTTTTCGTTTTTACTTTTTATCTCTTTCTTTGTGTAGCCTTGTCTGGTCTGAAACTCACTGTGTAGCTATGTAGAACAGGCTGGTCTTGAATTTAGAGATATCTATCTGGGATTAAAGGTTTGTGGTACATTACACCAATTATTATTTCTTTATTAAAAAAGATACCTTTGAATTTGAAATCTACTTCTAAGAACATAGGTGTTTTTAAACCTAAAAACATAGATGCTAGAGAGATGGCTCAGTGGTTAAGAACACTTGCAGCTGTTGCAGAGAGCCTGGTTCGGTTTCCAGTTCCTCACATGGTGGCTCATAACCACCTGGAACTCCAGTTCCAGGGGCTGCATGGACACTGCATGAACGCGGTGCATAGACATGCATGATATATGTAAACAAAATACTCAGACACATAAATAAAAGTAAGCCTTGTGAAAGTTAAAATATACAGACATTGTGAGGCTTCACCTATTTAAATAGTATAGTGATGGTATCAGTATAGTCAAACGAATTGAGTGGAGCATGACTCAGGAGGCACACACTCTTTAGTTAGCAGATCGTTAAAACTTGCTGAGTGAATGGGTACAGGCAGGAAGTTTGAGAGGCAACAAGTGTGAAAGAATGTATGAACCTGTAGGAGAGTGAGCATTCCTGGGCCTGTGAAGCATAAGATGAGAAATCATAAAAGAAGGGTGTCTGGGTTTGGTGGACCAATGACATTCATTTCCTGTTTATTTAAGAGATGTGATTGATTGTTTAGCTTACCTAATTCAACTCTGGTTTGTTTATTTGTGTGTGTGTTTTTTTTAAGTATTTGATTTGTTACTGTCATTAAATTACTTGTGCTTGTGATTTAAGGTTAAAATTGCAGAATTTTCTCGTACTCCTGAGGACTTTTTAAAGAAATATGAGGAACTGAAGTCTAAAAACACAAGGAACCTTGACCCACTGGTGTACCTGTTATCGAAGCTCACAGAAGACAAAGAGGTAAGCTTCCTGCCTCATCTGCATCAGCACACCTGCTGTGGGGACACTGAAGATACCTCCAGTGTCTACACAGACCCTGACGTGTGGTCCTCACAAGGGCTGCACGTTATCCTTTACATGCATTTACTTCTGCACATCCTTGCCCTGCTTTCAGTGGCTGGCAGCTGTGCCTCATGAAGGCAGCACTTTGAAGGCATGTGTTTGGGGAAATGTTAACCTCTCTATTTTTTACTGTAAACTTAAAGGGAAGAGGTTGTACTGGTTTATGTTCCAGTCCCCATTATTTTGGGGCCCAAGTTGAGGCAGAACATCAGGGAGTAGTCTGGTAGAAAGGTGTCAGAGCTGCTGGCTTCATGCAACTGGAAAACAGAAAGGATGGACTAACGTGCATGAAGCGTTCAGTTAATCCATTG